ATGAGCTTCCACAGGAAGCAAAGCCAGGGAGAAACAGACTTCAACTGCACATGGGCAGCATCTCAGTTTCAGGCAGGTCCTGCAGTGGTGGGTTCCACTGCCATTCCAGAATGGTCCCATTGCTAACCAGGTGGAGCAACTTCTTGGAGGACAAGGCAGAGAGAGTCCATGACAAACAAACCTTTCAGGCACGCAGATTATGTCAGACACTCTATTTTTTAAGCACTTGTTTTTCCTAAGAAAATCGGGGATTTGATGCTTTTGCTACTGTTTTGGTTGTTGTTCTTAATGTATTAAGTTGCTCTTAGAGTAACCGCCTTCATGTGTCTGTGGTCCCCAGGACAGCACTGATGATAATGGCAATAATACTTATCACTTAAATGACATTTTACAAATTCCAAGTGTTGGGCAACAAACATTAATTAGCTCTCACAAGAGCCTGGCTGTGAAGTAGGTAAGTGCTGCTATTCCCCAGTGGCACACAAGGAATCAAAAGCAGAGAGGTAAATCCTTCAGGGAGACACCAGCACTCGGCAGGAACTGAGGCTGGTGACTTTCTGCTTCCCAGTTTGTGTCAGAGTATGCACTGCCTGCATCACAGTTTTAAAATGTGCTTCTGAATTCACAGAAAATAACCTGGCACATGGGTTCTGCGGTTCTTGCACCTTCAGGAGGAGCTTACAAGGCTGTGGCAGACATTCACAGGGAGACTGCTCCCGTGCCCTGGTCTCAAACCCAAATTTTGCTGTTATGCTATTTTTTAACACTCTTCTTTGGGCATGCCCAGAGGTGTGGTGGGCAGAAGAATTCAGAGAGCAAGTTGAGGTGTCAGTGTGGTGAAATTATCCACACACAGGTCGAAATGGACTTTTTTTTTAATGCAGAGATGCTATACCAGAAGTTCAGAGTGATGTACCAGCAATGTCTGCTGATAGTGCTGGGAAGAGCAAGATCCTAAGTCAAAATCATAAAATCAAAACCGTAGCAGAATGGTTTGGGTTGGAAAAGATTTTAAAACCCATCTCATTCCAGCCCCTCTGGTGTGGGCAGAGACACCTTCTACTATCCCAGGGTGCTCCAAGCCCAGCCTGGCCTTGGGCACTTGCAGGGATGGGGCAGCCACAGCCCCTCTGAGCAGCCTGTGCCAGGGACTCACCAACCCCACAGGGAAGATTTTGTTCTTAATATCCAATCTAAATCTGTCCTCTGTCAGTCTGAATCCATTCTCCTTGTCCTATCACTCAATCCCTTGTAAACAGCCCCTCTCCCTCTTTCTTGTAGACTGCCTTCGGGTACTGGAAGGCCACAATTAGGTCACCCCTAAGCTCTCACTTTTCCAGGCTGAATAAAATGCAGGGATCTTCCCTACCTGTCCTAGATTGTCATGGAGACACTTCTAAAGCTGTTTTGATCACTATGTGCCTTGATTGAATTGAGTGAATTACATTCACAAGTCCCTCCTCTTCCCAAATTCCTGGCTTTTAAGCTTCTCTCAGAAGTTACCAGTGATTTTTTTCCAATGAAGTTATTGCAGCAGGACAGTGATGGTGATCTGTGTCCCTGTGGCAACCATTCCTGTATCCTGGTAATAGCCAGACAGAGCCAGGGCTCCAGGGTTTGGTAGGCTCTGGGTCCATTTATATAATGAGATCCCCATCATGGAAATTTTGCACTCTGTAATAAAATCATGTTTCATAAAGCATTTCTGTCTTTCACCACTGTTGTATCTTAAAATAGTTTTTATTGATCAGCAGATGAAGAATCTCTGAATGTTCTAGGGTGCAGTAAATGTCCCTTCTGTCTTTTGGTGACCCTGTAGATCAGATATTAACAGCTCAAGTTCTGCATTTTCTGCTGGAAAATACATTTCTGAGCAAGACATTTTGCATGTCTGAAATCCAGGGCTTGAATGTCCACCTACAGGTGGGAGGTGTCCCCACCTGTGGCAGAGGGCTGGAACTGGATGAGTTTTAAGGTCTCTCCCAAATGAAACCATTCCATGATCAATCCCCAGTCACCTTTCCAGGACGTTGCCCCATCTGCATTAAAGATGTCATGGATCAGATCAGTGGAGCCAAACTGGCACTGCTTTGAATGTCTCTCTGGCTTTCCCAGATTCTGTGCAAATGTCCCTTCATTTTTTGTGCTGTGGGTATTGGCAGCTACTTTGATGGAAAGCTGAAAAAGGCAGTTACAGGTATTTTAAAGTTTGGTACCTTGAAAATACATAGTAAATTATCTTTGAATTCCATACTTCTTAATTTTCCATCCCTTCTCTTTACTTGTGCAAAGACAGAAGAGGAAACTCAGAACTGTAGGCAGCTTCCTGGCTATTTGAAACAATTTTAGGGACAAGGCAATGGATTAAAGCTCTATGTGAATGCTGCTCACAACGAAGGCAGTTGTGGAGATATTTGTCTCTGTTTTTATGAGTAGCCAAAGGATCATCAGTAAACATGATTAAATTCAAAAAGCTGTGAAGAAGAGGCACTCGTGTGTGTGTGTGAAGTCAATAATTGCAACAAACCCATATTGTCTTGCAATTACAAAGGTGCCTGTGCAGTCCATGTTGGTATTTGATTAAGGAGAGAGGAAAAAGCTCAGTGCAAGCCAAATGCCTTCAGAAAACTCAGCAGAATGTGTGTTCTGAATGTACTTGAGTGAATCTAAATACTGAAACACACATGACAAATAGAAATCATGTAGTGCTTGGAGACCTCTACAACCTCAAATCATTACTCACAATTTATTTGCTTTTCTCTCTGTAAATCAAAACTTTATTGTTTGAAGATATTTATGGCATTCAATTTCCTCTTCTTTTAGCGGGGCTATAAGAAAAAAGTGAACAATTTCAGTGCTTTGCCTTCGTCTCTCTCCACATCTTAGTGTGTGCTGTGGCACATGGAAACGTGTGCAGGTGTATGAAGAAAATAGTGTCATGTAGTCCTTAATCTTTGATCCAACCAAATTTTGCCTTTTCATTTGTATGTTCCCATCTTCATCCTCTTTGCCCATTTTCCTGTCTGTGTTTCTGATATTCTCTTTAAGTTTTTGCTTCTTGGATTTTTTATCCCCTTTCCCTTTCAGAGTCCTCTGTTCCTGGAGGTGAAACTCTGACACACTAAACCAATGTGCCATTTCATTCCCTGATTTTTATGAATCTCTTAATTTTGTGCTCTGAGTGCAGGTGCTGTTTTCTGATGAGGTGAAGAATTGGTAGGGGAAAATACAGTTAGCAGTGATTAATACCCAGTGAAAAATAAAATGTGAGAGAGAGGTGAAAAATGCCAATAATGAGCAGGATCACAAAACCAGGGAATGAAGTGGTCCATTGATTTTAGTGTGTCACCCTTTTGTTTCCAGAAATGCAGGTTATAACTCCCAGTGCAGGTAAAAGGGGATTTGATCTCATCCTAGTGCTGAGGTCAGTCCCTGTTTTATGGCTGTGACACAGTTGGATGTGGGTGACACTTCTCGTTCAGGGAACAGAATCCTGGGACAGCTTGAGGAAAGGTGCATCTGCTGCCTCATACAGGGAAATACCCCGTGGATTTCTGCAGGAGTTGGACTTGAGACTTGCACAGACCTTGCATTTACAATTTAAATAAAATCAGTTGCATTCTGCTCTTGTATTAAATGGGATTCTGGAGATTAAGCTCAAGGATTCACAGCAATAAGAATTCCTGAGAAGCCAATCAAATGTTAATCTGTATTAAAGGTGAGACAGCCACTATTTCACACCATATTAATCATTGCTTTGTACACAGGCTCAAACACAAACACAAAACTGAATCAGATCTGTCCAGCTCCTAAATTTCTTCAGTTGTTTCAAAATAGGACCAAATCAGTAAAAAGTGAAAGAAAACACAGTACTAACCATCACCTCATAAATCACTGATATCTATGTCATCTCAGTTAGAATTTAAACTGAATTTTGGGGAGTGTAGGGCCAACAACAGCCCCTGTGAAAGAGCAGTGTTTCCAAACATTCAAAAGCTGCAGATGAGCTGCATTGCTTGTGTTTGTTGCTTTGAAGTTTTGAAAAATCCCCTTTCCTTGGCTCTGCAGTGTCACACTTGAAAATATTCAGGTTGGGTTTGTTGTTCATTATATAAAATATTAACGATCTTGAAAGTATTATCGTGTTTGTTTTAAAGAAACTATTTTCTACGCTTTAATTAAAAGTTATAATTCACTATCTTTTGACGAAGTTATCTTAAATCTTAATCTTATTGGTAATGGTACTGGGTCAGATTCAGGGAGAAATACAATCCTTACTTAATGCAAACAGTAAAAATATCAGCATTTCTAGAGATATGGTTGAGTTCAATTCATGTGCTGTACTAACTCTGCCTGTTAATTAGAAATATTCTCCTACTTATGCAAGAATACTGGGGAAAAGGGCATTCTCTTCCTCATTAGATATTCCATGGGAATCACAAATGGACAAAACCAGGCATAATATGATGACTGTTTTGTTATTAAAGCACTTTAATAAGGTTAATGCATCCATATGAATGGTTTTCAAAATAAGTTTCTGTAGTTTTGAAGGTATGCTCTGGTCTAGTACAGTAATAAAGAATTTCCATGTGGGGAAATAGTCAAGTTCTCCTTTATTTTCCATTTATAAAAAGCCAATGAAACATACAGTTTGAGATGGCTATGGAAGTAATTCTCCTTATTCTCCTTGCATTCTGGTTAAAAGTTGTCTTATTGTGCTCTATCTGAGGAAAAAGTGAGAAAATACTGACTTTATATGCAAAACAAGGAGTGAAAAGTAAAAATAAAATATGGACCGTAAAGGACAATTTATGCCTTGCTAAAATGTAGAGTTGAGCACTTTTTTTTCTGCTCTGATTTTTCATAAAGGAGAGCTGAAGCTGCACTGCAAGTTGAAAGGTTTCTAAAAGAAAAGAGAAAATCTTTCTGTGTTGAAAACTGCAGCAAGTGGGACCTTATCTATATGCATTACTTTGATTTCAAATTATTTTTAGCATGGCTTTTATTGTACTCATTGTTACGTACATAAATCTTTAAAGTAATACGTTTTGTAAGAAATGGTCATAAAAATTTACAGCCAGTAACTTTTCCCCTGTCCCTTACAATGATATTCTACTAAAACCATTAAATGGTTCTCATTAATGCCCTTTAAATGATTGTGTAATGACCCACAATCGCTTGTAAGTGAACAACCATTAAAGAATTACCAGTTCTTAGCATGCTTTTAAGTACAGTTTAAATACATGGGAGGTAACGTATAATATATTAGAAAAAGTATTAAATTTGAAATTGTAGAAACAGGATGGCTCCAAAAGGAAGGAGTGGGTGGAAAACCTCTCCTGTGCTGACCGCAGCCCTCGGAGAACAGTCCAGCGGCATTCCTTGTTGCGCATTTCCAGCAATGCATCCGTATTTATTTGTTCTCTACAACCACTTGGGTTTATGAGCCTGGTATTGGAGTGATTTATAAGGAGTAAAATGACACTGTGAGGGTGATTTCCATACAAATACACTGAAATCCAAATCCCATCCATACCTAATGGCTGTTATTGGAGAGTGTGACCCACCTGCTGCTTGCAAAGGGCAGCTCTGAGCCCAAAGCCAGAAGGGGGAATGGTCACTTCAGGGGGTTGCAGTATGAAAGAGGGACATCCCCTGCACAGCTGACCTTGAGAAATCCCAGGAACGTTCAGATCTGCATGCAAAGAAATGCAAGTGACAGAAAAGACGTTTTTAATAAAGAGCATTAATTTAATGGAGAGTCAGAGGCACTTTGCAGCATCTTGCCACTGCAATTCCAGCCTAGCCCATTGCTGTGATCCCACCTGGGATGAGCGAGCTGCAGTGGCAGCTCTGTGGGTTGAAGGGGGCGCTTTGCAAATGGGTCCTTCCCCTGTAATCACAGTGGCTGTGGGAAGTGAAATGCCTTTCCCAGCCCTTGGAGGCTGTGGGGACAGCCCACACCCAGTTTATGTATGCTCTCACTTCCAAGCTGCTGCCTGGAGGAAAAGAATATCTGGCAACATTTGGCAGCTGCCCCATGCAGCAGAGTTGCTTTTTGAACTCCAGTCCTTGTGCTGTAGAGGTGGGCTATGTAGAAATCCACCTCATGATCCAAATAAACTTTCTCTTGCTAATTTGATATTTGCTTATTCCTACAATAACAAGATTCTCTTCAGTCTCGTAGCCTTAAAATGGTATCTGAGGAAAAGGAATTTCTGTGTCTCCAAAGCAAGATTATTAGGAAGTGGAACCCTCATTACCTGATGTTTTGGTTGTTTTTGGCTCTGTTACTCTGTACTAGCATCTCTAAATCCAAGTGTTTTGCTTTGGGCACGTGGATGAATTTTACTTGAATTCTCAAAGATTCAGGTTTGCAATGGAGAGAGTCAAACAATGTGGAAAATAGGTATGTGTTTGGATTTATTTGTTTCTCTTTTATATCTGAGAGTTGCATCTCTTGACTTTCTCTGTTAGCAGTCTGGCTGGCCTGTTGTTGGCTTCAAGTGCAATTGATTTAATTCCAGATCACTTGGTCCAACAGGGATTTGAGTCTAGAGCTCCAACATCCCTGTGTCCAAACCACCAGGATGTGGAGTTGTGATTTTCAAGGAGTGCTCTCTCTCTTTTGGTCCTTAACAGAAATTCACTGAAGCCAGTGTGTGAAATATTTCAGTTCCATGAAATTTCATCTAATGAAAATATTCTCACTGGTTATGCCCACTGCTGAGAGTATCTGACCACTAGTTTCCAAGGCAGCAGGCAGCCTAAGATCACATTAGACTTCACAGAATGCTTAGATACACAAATTTCAGCAGCAGCAACAAATGCTTTGTCATGTTTGTGTTTCCTAAGAGCTGGATTCCTTCTCCTTACCCCTGCTATTGGCATGTTTGTCATCTCCTCGAGTGCAGAATGACCAGGTGGAGCTTCCAGAGCAGAAAGAGAGAAAAGGAAGCTTTTTTAACATATTAGACCGGTACAGTTCCATAACATTGAGTTTATAGATGCTTTTTTGTGCATTTTTCTTTAAAGTTCCCAAACTAAGCTGCACTTGCTGGTCCTTATCTGCATCCTCATGCTAACAGATTGTGATCCAGGTATAGTGCAGCCGCATATTTAACCCATCTGTCAGTGCAGCTGAGTTGGATATTTTTAGACTATCAATCACCATGGTAGCTGGGTCTAATATCTGTGCATCCTGCATCAGAGCAGCTACTTTGGGTACTGCCAAATAGGTCCTGGCTAAGAGACTGAGATCAAGAGATCTCCAGAAGTTTTCAGAGAAGGAATTGGATGCTACAGACTTTGTTAGAGCCCAGGCTGGGCTGTAAAAGGGTCTGAGTGAAGAACAGGCAGGAAAACCTGTAAATTCATGTGCTTGTATGGGCAAGGATGGGGTCTGAAAAAATATCTAGGCTCTCCAACCTTGGGCAGTGAGCAATTCCTATTCCTCAGGCCTCCAAGCACAGGGAGGCTGAGGTTTTTAACAGTAAGAGAGGGTAAAATGCACCTGGAACATGCTATGGGAAAGAAGTTCTTTGGAGGGTGTTGTAAGAGACAATTGGATGCTGCTCTGAAACAGAAGAGGTTTTTGGTGGGAAGAGAAGAATGTGCATTCCCAGGAAGCTGACAAGACTGCACAATATCATGGCATGTCAGGCTTGCTGTCACAACACTTCACCTGGCAAGTCACACACAGGAGCTGAGCGTGATTACTGCACAGCAAATCCCTGCTCGTGGAGTCCCTCAGCAGTGCGGGACTGACAGAGGCAAGGGCAGATGGAGATGTTCTGTCCGAGCAGAGGCAGGGAGACAGTGCTTGGACTTCTGTGTTTGCTCTCCTGTCCTTTCCTGGGCAATGAGTTCATCAGAAGTGCTGCAGGGATGGCTCAATCCCAAAACACAGACGTTTGTCTGTGTGGCACGAGTGGGTGGTGTCTGTGGTCCTGCTTTGCAGAGCAGTTTGGGTGCTGGGGATTAACCCTCCTGGAGGGATTTGCCAGACTAATTAAATATTAAACAAAAAACTTCTAATTTGGCTATCTGGATTGGTAGAAACACTGATGGCTTGAAATATATATATATTTTACTAGACCACAGCGAATTGGTACCCGAAGGAAGATTTTATTTGTTTAAGTGTGTCTGTGATGAACGCAGTTCTGGTATTCCAAAAGTCTATGTACTGCAGACTGAAAATAGGCTTCTTGCCAAATGGGAATTGAAACGCACATACGTATTACACTATTTGCCTTAGAAGAAATTAATTTTCAGCCAGAAGCAGATAGGATTATTTAATATTTATCTTTAGCTGCAGGAAGATGAATCTATTATTTTATTTTGTTATTTTATGTGTGGCATTCATCCAAATTTTCCTATAGGAGGTGCTGATGTATTCTTTTCTGTGCTGCATGAAGGTTAAAGAGTCTTCAGCTGTAAAATTTCTCCAGTGACCCCCAGCAGAGACCATCCTTTTCCTTAGGACTGGGAGAAGGATGCCAGGGTTTATCGTGAGGGTGTGCACGTATCCAAGAAGTGCAGGGAGAATTGGGAAGGGAGGAGATTCTTTCCTCAGTTGCTTTCCAAGTTAATAATATTGGGAAGTTAAAACATCTCCAGCATAAAAATTGAGCAAAGGGACTGGAATAGTGTCGTGTGTCAAAGCTGACTGATTTAGTGCTGGGAAAGAACGGGCTGGAGGGGATGAAGTTGCAGTCTCACAAAGGACCATGGAGCTGGGACTGTTAAATATCAGTGGAGCATCACCCTGCCCTGTCAGCAAACTTCCATACGACTGGAGTGAGGGATGCTAAGATGTCATTTCATGGATGCGTTATGTGCTGCTTACAATGAATATTTCATCCATGGTGCATTACATTTTTGATAAATTGTAACTTCCTGGACCAAAGTTTGGTTAGCTTATCTCCAATGTTTTTTGAAGATCTTTCAGGAGCTGATTTTGACCCAAACCCACCACTTAGCAGGAGTCTGTAGCCATGTGGTAACAATTTAAATTACTGTAACAATGGCAAATCTCCTTCCTGCAACTAATAAATGCAATTTATAAGGAATGTTAAGTAGCAACAAACAACTTACTACTTTGAATTTCAACCAAACTGATTAAATAATTAAAGTACATTTGTGGAGTTGGGGTGGAAGGGAGGAACTCTGGGAATTGTGCACGTTTATTCAGATATGTAGATGTTTGACATGACCCTTTGGCTGTGCCAACAAGAGAATTTCAGAGTTCATTCCCAACCTGCCTCATTCCAATAACAGGAAGGATATTTTGAGGTAGTTCAGGTTGTTTAAGGTGTATGACCAGAGTAAATCTGCTTCAGAGAGGGTTTGATAGAGCCAGAAGGGCAATAGTGTCAGAACAGAGGAGTCAGTGGGACAATGGCTGGGACACCTGGGGCTGCTGGGTGACAAAGGGTGCTCCTGGATTCAAAATCAGAATATCCCACAAGGATCATCACGGAGTGATCCTGACCTAGAGGAAAGCTTTAAAGCAAGCACCACCTGGCTCTGCACAGTACACAGCAGTTGTAGACTGAGGCAGGGACTTGTGTGCTTGTGGGGTTCACTTCCTGTCTCGGGATTGTGGGATTTGGGAGGCAGTTTTCTTTTTACAAAACCCAAGGATTAACATTATCCAGCTTTTGTGTATATTCATCCAGTAAAAAAAGCATTTAGATTTTTCCCTCGATCTTGTTGCGACTCCCAGTTCACCTGCCTCAGTTTTCCACATGGCACAAACAGCAGTGACTCAAGTCGGAAGAAATAACATAGGATTAAATTTTTGGTAGGGATTTTTCAAATTCTCTGTTCAGGAAGTTGCAGAAATAACGTGTTTATGAATATTACCTTCATTTCCTGAGGGATTCCACAGGGCTGGGTCCTGTGCATGGAGCATTCTGGGTTTTTTTGTTGTCTGAGCTGTAGCCTAAAAGTTCTCCAGGTTGTACTTTGTGACATGTTGAGAAAGTAAAAAACAAAATGAGAAGGAAGAGCAGTAAAGTTGTGAGTCAGAAGCTTGTTCCGTCAGATTTTTTACTTCCAGCCCTTTTCTTCAATCCTACAAATGGAATAGAAGGAGAGTCAGAAACACTAATGAAAAAACATCAAATATTTAAGGTTGCAGGATTTAATAATAGAAATCTTCAGCATGATTTGCCAGGCTACATGGTGTGTGCTGCTATCCATTCAAAATAAAACTCATAATCGTGGTCCTGCAAAGGCTTTGAAATGCACTCCTCTTTGACAGTTTACCCATTTTGCTGTTACTGAGGTCTTTAAAGGGTTTTTAAAACCAAATAGAGCTGTGTATTGAATTCAGGTATCTTTCCAAAAACCGTTCTTGAAGTTAAATAATTTGTGATTTTCCTAGGTCAGTATTATGCTACTGATAAAGAGAGAGTATTTCACACTGTAGACTTGAAAGAACAAAATTCCCAAAGCCTTTATGATAAAACAGTGACCAAAATATAAATAATCAAATATTAGCTGCTTAGTTTGTTTTAAAGAAATTTTACTGTAAGTTCATGACATTCAATAAAAAATACAGAAATCTAGGTAAAATACTTATAAAATGGCAGATCCATACATGATGATTTCTCCTAAGTTGAAAATACTCATGCTCAGTCCTTTCATATGGACTCAGAGGGGTTCCAAGTGACCCTGGTATCTGTTTTGATGGCATTTGGGGTTAGTTTCTCCTGTGAATAAAGGAGAGTTGTTGGAATGTGTCTGAGGGACAACTGAGGCTCTTCCATGCTTTGGGATTTACCTGGGCCAGAGTCACTTTTATAGCAGAGACTGCAATTCCCCAGTACAGCTTGATTCATTGCCATTAACAAAGGATGCCTGCAATAAAATATAATTGGTGCCATCCCTTTGTCACACTGAAATGATATTTTTGTGTGGAAAATGGAAAATTTCAGCGTTTGCACTTCACAAATTGTCACCCTCCATGTATTGGTGTTTGAGTTATGGCCTTGCAAGCAGCAAAACACCTCTGTCTTGCCAAGTATGTGTTAAATTAGTGTATGAATATGGAGACTCTCATTTGTTACTTAATTGATCTGCAGGGCTGTCAGATGAATCTGAAAGTGCAGGTAGTGACAAGAAGGTTTGGGGTTTATTTCCAGGATAATGGAGTAAAAATGATACCACAGATGAACACTGCTGCTGTGGGTTCCCTGGGCTCAGGGGATCCTCTCCTTCTTCCTCAGGCAGGCCCAGGCCCAAACACCTGGGCCTGGCCCATGAATGTCATAAAGCAGCCACGTTTCTTTCACCTCATCTGAAATCAGGTTCAGTTTTCTGTAGTTTTTTAATTTCAAGACCTTTTTCTGTGTCATTGCTAGAAACTGGTTTCATTTTTCTCCTCAATAAGGTTTCCTGCATGGGCACAGAGCAGTGGACATGTGCTGAGGCTTCTTGTGCTTGATATTTTGATTTTGATGTCTATGTAAGAGGCTACCTGACTCTTAGAGTCAGGAAACTCCACTTAAAATTTGAGGCCCTTGATTTTCAGAATTGCAGCCTGGCTGAGGAACACGCAACCTGGGCTTGAGTAAAAGCAAAAACAGCCTTGCAAGAAGTGCATATTATTGTATAAAATTTACTGCAAAGAGGAGTGATAGGAATAGAAAACATATACAGTAGCTTGCTGCATGCTAGCAGGTCTTTTCTGGGCTCCTAAATGTTAACTGGGTAGTCATGTAAGTTATTACACTCATTAAATTAGGCCACAAACAAGTCAACAATGATTCAGCAAAATGGTTTTGTTTGTATAGTGCAGGGAAGTCTGATAGATAACCAGTCAAACATTTATGGCTAAATGGATGAAGATTTTAACATTACAGCCTAATAAAAGCCCCATACTGTGTGATTAAATAAGAGGGAAAGCAGTAAAGAAGAGAAAGCGTAATGATGGTAACATGTAGGTCAGTTACAATTTAATTGTCATTGCACTTCATTGCGAACATATCAATTCTCTGCTGCTTAGCTGAGCAGAAAACAACAACTTAACATGTACAGTGGGCCCGTGGCTGCCTGGCAAACCCCCACTTCCATCACCTGCCTTCCACTACTTCCTTAACAGCCGCGGGAAGTCTTCCTGCCTTAATAGCATCATCCTGCTGGAAGCTCCTGCTGCTCGTGTCCTCCCCGCGCTCGATGCATCGCTGAGCAGTAAATTTACTTCACTCTCCCCGTAGAAGCTAAAATTAGGCTGTTTGCGTTACAACTTGCAGTGCTCCTGCACCAAGGAACACCTGCGTGCAGATTTATTTTGGTTTATTTGGTTTCAAATCAAGATGGCTTTGCAGAGGCAATACCCTGATGGACTGCATGAGAAGAGCACAATGGCCAATCGTTTTTCTTGCTTATCCTATTTATTCCATGGCTCCTTTCTGTATAAGGTATAGCTTCATTAACATTAATTGCAGCTTTAGCAACTCCACGGAACTGCTTATTCCTGCCAATGTTTTCCACTGTATTATATTTCCAGGGGTACTGAAGAAAGCTGCAGGAGGAAAAAAAAGTCTGTTTTTGGTAGTTTGTGCTTCTTTTTTTTGTTAATCTGGGTAATTCAGTGGGCTCTCAAAGGACCCTTAGCTTTGGCACCTTTTTAAAATGATAGCTCTAAAGAATTGTCTGTCTGGCACAGTTATGCTGATCTATAGTAAAGACTTAACAGAGTACATAACCAAACTATTAATTCAGGTGCCTAAGGTGACATATTTTATCCAGCTCTGCAGAGCTGATTTTATAGAGAGCAGAACATGGTTCCCATTTGGATGGGGAGCAAAAAAAAAATCTTGAGAAGTGAAGGGAGAGCTGCCTGGCACCCAGGGAACCTCAAGAAAGAGGCTGGAAAAGTATCTGTTGGAGAGAGAATGCAGTCAAATTTGGGAATATGGTTGAGTCTTTTCCTTAACTCTAAGGGGGAGGTTTTGTGAGGGATCAGCAAACCCTGACAGTGTTTTTGGGACAATCTCACTGGCCTCCACTTCCAAATGTCTTGCAAGCTGAAGCTGGGAACAAGTGAACACTTGCAGGTTGAATTTCTGAACTGCTGATTTCTTTGGGGCATCCTTTGGCAGACTCAGGTTTGTGTGGATGGGAAGATGCACATCAAACCCAAACTGTACCTGGCACAAGTGCCTCTTGTCGCTGTGGCCTTTGGCTGCCTGGGACTCCTGAGGCTGCTTCCTCCTGACACATCATCTCCCCCAAAGAGGGTCCTGGTCCCAGGATCGGCTTTCCCAGGTAACAGGCCTCTCCCTGTGAAATTCTCTAATGGCAAGTGCACTCCTCTGTGCACCTGAGAGCTCCAGGAAGGTTTGTGCCTTGCAGCAGCAGCATCTCCTGCAGCTCCCTGTGGAGCAGTTCATCTGCACAGCCCCCAGCCCAGCTCAGCACGGCCAGCACCTAATAGCACCAAGGAGCCCCATTGCAACAGCCTGCCTTAGTGGCTCTGGAGGAAACTGCTTGCAAAAATCAGCCTGGATAAAATACCCAGATGTTTATGGTCAAAAGGTGCATTGGGAGCTGTCGAGGCAGCAAAGGCCTATTTGGAGCGTGTGTTTGGAGGCTTAACAAGATTAATGCCTGTGTGTGTGAGCCTGTAGGGGCCCCACTGAATGGTGTTCTCTCCATACCTGGGGGGTTTTGCTGCTTAAAAGTGAAGTTTGGGTTTCTTCTCAGTGCTGTGAAACAAGGGTGGTTTGGGATCTGCCTGTCCAGCAGAAGGAGTCACTGTAGGGAGGAAGGTGGGTTTGGTTCCCTTTCTGGAACAGGACACAACTGGAACACAGCTGTTCCACAATCACAGCACTGGGATAGTTACCTAATTCTCTCTGGTTTCTCATCACTGTTACCCTGGTGATGTGACACACTCTCTGCTCAGTTAGCCAGTGGCTACAGTTAAAACCTGACAACAGCCAAAGAACTTGCAGAGTTTTTCCTTTGAGCTTTTGATGCTGCAGTGATGTTTGGGCCGTACAGGAATGAAAGGAATGAAGCTGTGGTTTGTTAAAGAAGGCCCAGAAGTTGGGAATGATAGCGCTGCTCTGCAATGGAGTGGGGGTTCTGCTTTCTCCATTTACCAAGGAGCATCTATAATAGCTTTATTCCTTTTGACTGTCTGATAATTCCTTCCTGCTTCCTCACCCAGAGCAGAAATATGTAGAGCAACCTTTAGACTTTAAGGGCAGTGAAGGACAAATTTGAGGGAAATAAAGACCCTCTCCTAGGGGTTAAACCTAATAAATCTATCCTACAGCCTCATACCCAATGCTTTGGCTTTCTTGGGTACGTGGCTGCTATTCACGAATCCATTTTTCCTGTGTAGCTGACAATATATTTTTTTATACTTTGATCTTCTGCTAATCCAAGGGATGGCCACAATTACCATCTGTATATTCAGCAGCACGGACCACCAGGCCCCTGCACGCCGTGTCCAGGTGCGTTTTCCTTGTGCTTTGGGGAGTTTGGGAGGTGGGTCCTGCCTTTCCCACCTGGGCTGCGAGTGGGGCATGGGCTGCTTTAGCTGCTGCCACTGGTACTGGTCTGTACCTTGTGACGTAATTTTAGGAAGCTTATTAGACTTATGATTGATGACAGCCCAAAGAGGATCTACAGCTATGCACTGACATTCATGCTTGCCTTTTAAATATCAGACTCCATAGCTCCAGATCTCTATTTTACACTCAAGTGCTCCAAGCCCCACATTAGCACATCCCTTCCTCCTCCTCCTCCTCCAAATTAGCGTGTTCCTTTAAATGCACCAATATTTCAGCAGTTGTGTTTTAAACAAATCCTGCATTATTTGCCCTTTTCTTAGACTGCTTAATTCTCAGTTGAATGTTAACAATCCTCTCTGCTGAGATATAAACATAAATAAATTGTAAATATTCCCCTTCCCATTATGTCGGACCCTGGCTATTCCTTTATTTTTTTTTTTTCTTCCCCCTTATTAAATTATGTTTACCTGAATACATCAGGTTCATTTCACCTAGGCAGGATGTCCCATTAAGCATGACAAGTAGAAGGTTGTGAGATTAATGC